CACGACAGATATTTTCCTTCTGGACACTAAATAAAATTCATGTATCGGATAGACTACAGCAATGATGAAGAGGATTCCTGTGGCACAAGTAATTAAAATGATAAACAATACAACTCACCTCATCCAGTTTACGCAGATCACGAGACAATGTGGTGTCGTCTCCATCATCCTCCTCAACTTCTCCATCATCCTCATCGATTAGGGAGACCTCACTTTTCGCTGCTGGACCTTCGATCTTCTCATTGCTATCGCCATGATCAGGACAATCAATTATGTCATCATCGGCAGCAGCTGTTGGCACTCCATCCTCTTCTTCTTCAACATCAGCATCGGCGTCCAATTCATCCGATTCGCCAGCATCGAAATCTGATCGAACTTCCAGGAAATCATCCTCATCGTTAGTAGAATGTTGCTGCTGTTGTTCCTGGATCCCCTGGTCTACTGTACATGGTTTGACGGATCTGCGAGTCGCATTTGTGCTGGTATTTGAACGAGACGCGGGACTAGATCCAGTTGGCAAATTGTTCGTCGGAGTAACCGTTGAACTGTACATCTGATGCTCTGTAGCGGAGGGATGAGATCGTCGTTTTGGAAGGACTAAATGCCAACTACCAGTTCCGCTACCCAAATCAGAGTCATTGTCCCCGGCTCCCAACCCACTACAATCAGCGGGCACATTGAGCGGAATTGATACATAGCCGCTTTGGGCATTTGCGGCAGCCATTGCAGCCGAAGCAAGCACTTGACACATAATTGGTTTCCCCGGGAGAATGGTACGTTCGTCCCAAGCTAAGGAACTCGGTCTACAGACATGTAAGAAGAGCAAAACAACTTGGACGGTAATTATTGGATTAGCCAATTCGGGTTTTGAAACAGGCACCAGGCACTGTTGATGAGTATATCACTTATCACGGTTCCGTGAAAATAAGAGCGGAAAATTTTAAATATAGCATAGGAACTTGAGCGCTTGTTTGTCGACAAGAACACCAGGCATTACCAGGCACGAATATGAGTTACAAATCAATGTTGATTTTACTCAAACGAACAAACAAGCAACTCGTAATGAACAAAGGGTAGAGAGGGGCATTAAATTTATTTGGATTCACTTTGTTGTTCGACATACTTTCACGGTTTAAATGCAAAAGGTACATCATTACAACCACCAGGATCCAATTTCAGGTTTGAATAAATATTTACCTCTATTCAGTCATAACAACCCCGAAACTAATGCTGCGCACCTTCCATTTCATCTTCCTGCATCCTAGTCCAAGTCGGATCAAGTTCAGAAATGTCTTTGCAACCTGACGGATGACTTTTCAGTGAACGGATACAACAAAGACGACATTAACGAGCCGAAATTCAGTGAAAGCAGCTAATCGGAATGAGGATAAAAGAGTGATGCAGGAGCGATATTGGGTCCTATGTATTCACTCGACCGAGAAGGGACGTTGTGTTTCTTCTAATTTTGGTTAGAGACCAAAGACGAATGCTCGTATCTGTTAGGCTGTCCACAGAAGAGTGAACCACGGTATAGCGCTTAGAACATCGTTAACACGATTTTCTTTGTTGAACATCAATTGGCAATTAGGCACTAAGGTTTCCCAATCTCTTACATTTGATGCTGGAACGTAAGAACACTCCTGCACGCGGGGGGTCAGGCGCTAACAATACGTGCGCTACATGACTATCAGCCAGATATTACACGCCTATCAGAAGTCAGATTGGCGGGCTCCGGCT